CCGTATATCGTGCATCGATACATGCCACTGAGACTCGATACGTTACTGTTTTTTTCATTTCCATACTTTGAATCTCCCCGCAACTGCCGCGCTTGTATCGAAAATAAGGAAAATGCTAGAAAAGCAAATTGTGTAAAAATAAATTATGAATTTCTCCTATGACAAATAATTTGTAACGTAATACTTATCTGCGCAAAACTTAAATTTGGGATGTTAATTTTGTGTGATTTTTAATAATTGGGAAAAAATGATAATTCAAGATAGAATTACGTATCTTAAATAAGACATATAATAATATAATAATATATAATAATATACAAATAATATACTTAATAAATTTATATTTTAAGTATACATCTAAAATAAGTATTATATGTATAATTTGAGTGTATAAATTATATAAATTGATATATAAACAAGCATATAATTTGATTTGGCATACATAATCTAGCTAATTGCATAATAAAAAAGCAACGATTATTTTTTATTTGTCTTAGATTACATATATAATGATAGTTAACTTGTAGATTGTCCTTGTTCAATTACAAATACAGCGAGAGAGGAAACTTATCGTGATACACGTGGCATAATGGGATTCAATTACAAGGATATAAATAACACATATCAACGAGATCTATACAGACACTATTACATTGCGAAAGAAAAGACGATAATCCCGCATGGATTAACATATACAGTGTCTTATAAAGAGATATTTTTTTAGTTTTTTTAAGAGAAGGTGATAATAACAGCGCTATAAATTTTTAATCTAAAAATAGTTACAAATCTATGAATGTATGAATTTTTTTCAATCGAAAAAAATCCCCTTCACAAGTTAATAGAAATGATAGATTTATCATTAAAACTAATATCGCGATTTACAGAGCATCTCTTGTATATGTACGAAGAATCCAATCACAATGTGACGCTTATCCCGTCTTATCTGCATGATTTATATCATCGATCTCCAGACACACCATACTCTGTCGATTCGATCTTTGCATTGTGTATCGTCATGGTTTGCGATGAAAGAGACGAGACGGCCGCTTTCCGGCCATGTATCCACGGCAATGGACCATCTTATGTGTCCCTCCGCTACACTCGAAAAGCGGCTACCACGAAAATACCGCTTCCGGTTGCCCTAGATTCCCGCAATTCACGGGTCCCTCTCTCTCCCTATCTCTCTTCCTCCTATCGTTGCGGCATCATATGGGACGAGAGCGCGAATCCCGTTCAAAGCGCTCCAAATAATTTATGTATCCACAGGTCGCCCCTTTCTTGTCTGCGTATCGTCGGGAAGATTCCGCATCTCTCTTTTAAAATTCCATTAAAGAGTGCAGCGGCGCTTTTTTCGTCCGACCTGAAGGACCAGTTTGTCCTTCTTTTGCCCGTCCTCCCGATCGTTTATTTATGAATTGTCATAACGCGATGTATTTCAGTCGATTGCGATAAGGTCACGTCGCAATATTTGGAGAGAAAGGGGAGAAGAGAAAGAGCCCTAATCCCATCTACGTGCTGTTCATATCGCAGAGTCGCTCGCTCTTGGCAGCGCGACGTAATTTTAGACAGTACCCGCAGTGACAGTCTTTATAACGCACGTGAAGTATGAACCACTTCCGGTGGATCTACGTCATCCGGCATGTCCCCTTGCACTCGCACTCTCTCCAGTGGCTCCGATTCTAAATCTAGACAAGCAAATCTCCTCGTGGCCTTTAGCCCCGCATCTCGCGCGTCGACAAAAGTCTCAGCTCTTGTCCATCGTGACGCAATGTTGCAAAACACATTGTTTGCACGTTAAACAAATATACCCACACGAACGTACAGATCACGCGATGTCGAATTGTTTGAGTTTCATCAATTTTACATTGTCTTGTCGACAAAGAGATGCGAATACTCTCCCCAGATTCTCTCCGGATCAGATCGATGATAGATAATCGGACGAAGAGCGATTATCGAAGTGGTAGATAGGTATGTTTCGGTAATTGCGTGGCTAAGTTTAGGCGGTGCAGTTGGCGTCAATGCGAGGATGCATATTCAGAACGGAGCTCCTCATATTCTTATGCTCACTTACTAAACCGCGGCGTCGCGTGTGGATGTGAATGTGAATGGAACTTGCTGGCACCCCGCCTGTTTATATTTAGCCACTGTGGGCGGTATAGCTGTCACGGATACGTATCATCGGCATAACTGAACTGTGCAAATGAATAATGAAGTTCCAGTCGTCCCTTTCGCTCTCTCTCTCTCTCTCTCTCTCTCTCTCTCTCTCTCTCTCTCTCTCTCTCTCTCTCTCTCTCTCTCTCTTTCTATCTCTACCTCTGTCTCACCTCTTTCTTTCTCCGTCTCTCTCTCTCTCCATCCTGATGTTCATTATAGGTGCCCTCAACCGAGAACGTTACCCGAATTGGCGTTACCCGGTCGCGTCTCATTGTCTCTCTCCGTGGACAATCTCTTCGCGCCACCGAAGCGAACGCGACACATGTGGTCTCAATGAACGCACATGCATATATAGGTACATGTATATGTATGTACGTTCGCGGGGAACATAAATGCACGGTTCGGCAGCCTTTGAGCGCGGTTCGCCGTACCGACGCATCGTAAAAGATTGTAACGTCAACGAATACAGAGAATGGAGAATAGTCATACGATACTCTTAATCCTATAATGACTGCCCTGTTAGTTCCGTGCGGTTTAATGTGACGTTAAAACAACATGTATATATACTCGATTCCTTATACATCAAGTGTAATTCCTAAATTATCAAAAGGAGAAGCGCGCACGTCCATCTAGTGTAATTAAATATATACACAGAGGGAATTTTCTCTTGGAATTTACCCTCAAAATCGTGGTAATCGTGGGCCAATATGGTATTGGAAGAATTTTATGAGTTCTATTACAATAAGATGTAAAATATGTTTGATTAATTTTACCATTGTACATAGTAAAATTTACTATATACGCATTATTAATATTTTTTATTGTGGTAAATATTTAATTAGAGAACTCTTATAAAATTTATATTGTTCTACGATTACCATAATTTTCAAGATAAATTTTAAGAGAAAATTCTCTCTGTGTAGATATTATTTATCATAACATAAATATTGTACGTACAGTAATTAATTTTTATTAAAGTCCTAAGTTGATGATAAGCAGAATAAATTTAGCTTCCTTCTTCTCGTAATTTCTCGATATATTTCCTGTTTCTCTTTAGATCATAATTTTAATTAAATATAACGTAAAGAAGGAAAAATTAATTCTTTAATAATAAAAATTAATTAATCTCGAATAACATTAAAGCACTTCCTCCTTTACACAGTTTCTAAGACGAGTGAAAATGAGCATATTGCATTGTAATCATTTTGCGTCAATATCTATTGGAAGATATTGGCTACTTATGCATCCATCACGCTCTTCTTTTTATGTTATCGGTTTAAACAATCCGCAAAGGCCAAAAAGAAATATCCGGCAATGGCAAATTGACACGGAAGGTTATTGCTTATCGCCGCGCGTGCAACGCTGCATGTTTTGCACGGATTTTTACATCGCACAAACTTACCCTGCAGTTTTTTTTAAGCTGCCGCAAAACTATTTATAAGCCGACTGATCTTTTACATTAATTTCTTACGTCTCGGTAGTAAAATTCCGAGAGCCCCGTCGATCGTTTTTCCGCGATCCATCGGATGTCGTGAAATTAATAATCGCGAAGAGAAGGGCGATATGACACACGGACGCATATCCGCAGCGTCGCGCGCGCGTATGACGTCTCAGCTGGTGCACAGGCTGGATGAATAAACGTCTTCCTTATCGTCTAAAATAAACTGCACGTATCTGGATCGTAGCCAGGATGTAGGAAAGTACAATGATATTCGTCCCGTAAATTGTTGCGTTCCTACGGAGGGTGGATCGGACACATTCGCTCGTCTAAATCCGTAACCGGCTTTATTTAACCGCTTAATTGTGCTTTAATACTATTAATATAATATTTTATGTGCGTAGAAAAATTTTCGCTCATTCGATGCACTTGGCTTTGATCTCTTCGATCGCGTGTTGTCATCGCAGACAGATATTACGTATGTAATTAGATTTTTAACATATTATTGATATGTTTACGAGACCTAACGTCGTGATATATGTGCAGTATTTTATATTTAAAACGTTGTTGATAATTTAAGATTTGCAGATGCTTTTATATATATAAATTTTTTGTATGTTTGTACACGAGTATGAAATTATGATATAGTAATAAAAATTGGAAAACATTTTTTTTAGAAATACTGGCACGTCCAACACAAACTGAATATTTAAAATCACTGTAACATTTGTTGAGTATCAAATTTTTTCTACAATTCGCAATGTTTGCATCACAATATCAAGAAAAATTTTAACGTAATGCAAAAATATTCTTTTTTATTTGATTCAAATAAAATATGAAACATTTATATGAGTTTCGTATAAATAATACTATAATACATAATTTATCCAAGTTTATCTAAATATCAGTAAATATTAAAATATCCCCTTCGTGCAATTATCTATAAAAATAATCGTTGCATTTATACATATCTAAATTAATTGTAAGTACTCGCCTACAATATTTCTAGATATATGTGAAGTTGATGAGACATAAAAAACTAATTTTCTTTCACAATCTGCTCCATTAAAATATAAAAAAAATGTATTCGAATAATTGCATATATATACTATATTTCGTATACATTCGACTAAAAAATAGAGAAACGAAATGTACGAGGGCTTGAAACGGTCCTTACCACGCATCGAATTAGCATCGACATAAAGCGGCAATCAGACGTCGCATAATTTATTCCACGCGTACATTTATCCCGACAACACGTCCAGTGTATTTCCGTGCGCGGACAAGCCACCAAACTGTCCATTCTCCGCAATAGTTTCGCGAATTCTCTATCGCGTCCCTGGTTATAAGAGCCGATGCATAGAGAAGCGCAGCGTCCCTTTAATTAGTGGTCCGTGTGCTTTTACAGTATCCCGCTCACATGACGGTCGACTCGCAGAAGCAAATCGAGATGCAGCGGCTGCAAACGGAGCACTTGAAGCGACAGCAAGAGCACATCATGCAGCACAACATCCAGGAGTTGCAGGCTCAGATGACAAAGAGCCAGCTGAGCATGCCGGGACCGCAGTCGTTGATGTTCCTGCCGTTTCTCGAGCAGCTTAGAGGGCTACCCGTGCAGTCACCCATGCCTCCGCCACCAACAACGTCGACCGCCACCACTGGCAACAAACACATCAACTCCATCGCCAATGTATGTGACTCGGTGATTATCACAATTTTCACCACTTCCGTATATAATCAGGTTTTTGCAAAATTGCAATATTTTTTTATTTTTGCGACACTGATCCGTTCTTCATCTACTCGTTTCACATCAGTGATTAACTATTTTCACCAGTTTCATACGTAATCAGGGTTTCACAAAATTGCAGTGTCTTTATTTTCGCGACACTGATCATTCTCAATCTATTTATTCGTTTCACATCAGTGATTATCGCTATTTTCACTTTTCACCAGTTTCATACGTAATCAGGGTTTTACAAAATTGCAGTGCAATGTCTTTATTTTCGCGACACTGATTATTCTCAATCTATTTACTCGTTTCAAATCAGTTTCGTACGTAATCAGGGTTTTACAAAATTGCAGTGTCTTCATTTTCGCGACATTGATAATTTTCAATCACATCAGTAGAAGATATGGACCACTTAATTTGAAAAATGTTAAGTCTTCTAGAAATACACTCTTGACATTGTTTCAACGATTGTGATGATGCTAAAGAGACTTTAATTTGGTTCGCAGATGATCAGCAGTCATCGGGAAGGTTCGAGCTGGGCGACCGCGCATCTGGCGCAGATGACCACGCAGATGGAGAAGGAATCGCCATCACCGGCGCCGATCTCATCCGCCGTAGCACCGACGGCTCCCCCGCTTCAAGATCTCGACGCGCCGTTGAACCTCACCAAACCCAAGTCCACATCCTCAGGCGCAACAGCATCCTCCTCGTCGCCCGGCAGTGATTCGCACTCGACTGGTGCCGGAAGTAGCGGCCAGCAGGAGCAGCCGTTGGCGGCGACCGCGCCAAAGCTCTTCCCCCCAGGATTACCGATACCCCGGAATTATCTACCGACGCTTCCTTACGCCGGCCTGCCGCCGCATCTCAGCACACTATCTTCGCCAAGTAAGTGGAGACATTTGTGATCGTTCATGAAAGCCAGAGTTGTTAAGCTACGGTGAATCGGATCGGAATAATATACCGATATTTTGTGAAATTGTTTATGATTAAATATTTTTTTTTGTACACATCGCGATCTTGGCTGTTGGATCTTGGAATTTCATGCTGATGACGATACTTAACCATCTTCTAGCAGACCAGCTAGTTTTCCTGATTGTTGTCCGCGGTCAAAGTTTCTTCCTCTGTAGTTCGTTTCATTTGCTATTTGGTTTTTACATGAATACCAGCGTACCCATAATCAACGACGCGTGACGCGATTATTTCCGATAAGGTCCGCGCGACAAGATTTGTACAACCGAGGAAGGAAAGAAAATCTCTAGGTCGTCATTGTAATGTCGAGAGCGAATCTCCTCGTGCGTGACAATCGTCGCGTGCCACTTCATCCACAATATATAAATGGGATGCTGAAAAACACGTACAAACTTTTAGGGATTGTGTTGATCAAAAAAGGTTCTCGCAAACGTTATAGTTCCAAAAACTATTTTCAAGTTACAAATAATTAAAAATTAATTTTTTATTATTATATATAATTCTCAAAAGCCAGTGAGCTTAAACAATTTTAATGTTTTCAATTAATATTTAGCATTAAAACTTGGAATATTAAAGAAAAACGTCGACGAAGCGAGATTGACTTTAAATCGAATACACAAAATTCGAAGATGAATGAATCACGTGGTTTTTCAATATCTCGCACAACTCAAGTGACTATAACTTCTCCGGTTGTCCTCGCCGCGCCTCTTTCATCTCACTTTCTTCGGTGACCCGTTGCAGTGGGCAAAGTAATGGCCAAAGACGAGGCCGGTGGAGCTGGTGGATCCGTGGCGGCCGCTGCGGTCGCGGCCGTGGAGAAGCACTTCGCGATGCACGGGCTCTACGGATTACCGCCGAGCGCAGGTGCGATGCCACCGTCTACCCAGACTCAAAGACCGATCAAGCATTCTGGTTCCCGGGAAGAGACGCCTCAGGAGGAGCAGGACTTTCTCTCGACGCCTCACAGTAAGCGAATACTGCAGGGATGAAGGAGCGTTAGTCGGGACAAATGTGCAGTATAGAAATGGAGCTCGGTTAATATATCGAGTTTTAAACACAATTTTTTTTGACAAGTATGCAGCAGTTTTTTTTTTGTTAGAGGACCAGTAATCCTACGTAAAACATTCTTTATATAGATTAAATTAAGATCTAGTTATAAAAATAAAATTAACCATAGTCATATATAAGAGAACTCCTATTGTTCCGATATAGAGAAAGAGATATGCATATGAAGCTTGTATCATAATTAATATTATAAAGTATGTATAATAGCCTCTGTTGTACCTTGTAAATATGATTCGGTTTCGAAATTGCAGTGTGGCGAGATCCGGCATATAAAGTAGCGGAAGACATAACGGAAAAAGGTAAGCAGTTCTATGAGTAACGATTAGGCTGATATTACGCTCTTGTTTTGAGAGCGGCAAGTGACGCCCTCACGAAATCAGATTCGTTTCTCACGAGAGTATCGTGAATCACGACGACGGCGTGACATCTAATCGCCTCTGTCTTTCTCTTTCTTTCTTCAGCTAAAATGGTGAGGCAGCAGAAAAGGGAGAATGAGAACAAGCCACATATCAAGCGGCCTATGAACGCATTCATGGTGTGGGCCAAGGATGAACGTAGAAAGATCTTGAAAGCTTGTCCAGATATGCATAATTCGAACATATCGAAAATTCTCGGTAAGCACATCTAATCCATATCGCCTTTCACATCCGCGATTATAATCATCAATCCACTCTTGAATTAATTCTATCACATTATTACTTATACATTAAATAATTTCATATAAAAAATATATATTAAACTCGACAATAATATCATACCTTTGCTACAAGGAATATGATGAAAAGTTACTTGAGACATATTTAGAAAAATGATCAGTGAACGCAAAGCTAAATTCTTCGTCTTCGGTTTTAGGCGCCCGATGGAAGGCGATGTCGAACTCGGAGAAGCAACCGTATTACGAGGAACAATCGCGGCTGTCGAAGCTGCACATGGAGAAGCACCCGGACTACAGGTATCGGCCGCGGCCGAAGCGCACGTGCATTGTGGACGGCAAGAAGATGCGCATCTCCGAGTACAAATCACTGATGCGACAGCGGCGGCAGGAGATGCGGCAGCTGTGGTGCCGCGATGGTGGTAGCGAGATGAACTTTTTGTCGCCGGTCAGCGCTGACATGGCTGGCTCGCAGCATCACCCAGGAGGCGCCGGTCCATCGGCACGGCCGTCAGTCTCACCACCGGCGACGATGTTGAACGGCAGCGGTGCCGGACCTAGCTCGGACCATCCCTCGTTCTACTATCCGCAGGACAGCCTCTCGCCGACGGACATGATGAACTTCTCGCCCGAGAATTCCGGCTCGATTGGCGGCTACGACGCGAGTCCGCGGCACCACGACGAGGATTGAACCGTGGCTCCGGGTCAGCCACTTTGGCCACCCGGAGCATCATCGTCATCATCGTCGGCAGCAGCTGTGGCGGCAGCGGCCGCGGCGGCCGCAGCGGCGGCGTCCACGTCGAGACTCGCCCACGAGCTCTTCTGGTAAGAATCGTCCGTCTCGGTGGAGGTGACACCGTCGTGTCTTTTAAGTCGACAGACGTCGCGAGAGCCGCTGCTACGCGAACTACGGAAGGAGGACGCTGTTACTTCGCAGGAGAAGACAAGCCGGGTGTCTCGAAACCTCACCGGAGGTTGTGATATAATCTCGTTCTATCTCTGTGCCATCGTACACGAAACGTCAAGGACCCTATCCGCGAAGCAAAGGCGCCAGAGCGTGTTCACCTGATCGAATCCGCCGTCGTGACGTCGCGTTCGGTACCAGGTATTGAAAGAATAGTCACAAGGTAATTTTACGCAGTACAATCTTTCAGTCAATTAGTTCGTTTGATTGATATGGAATGTGTATTCGAATATCTCGATAGCAATGTATTGTGCGGTTAACATAAGTGAACACAACATTTTGACAGATAATGATATCGTCTTCCAATTAAATTCTTCTTTATGGTAATACGTTGCCCTATATTATTTTATATTTTCATAATTTTCGCGATTTTTCAATTGCTGCGCAATACAACGCTATTCCAGGACAATCTTTATCAAGGATCTATTTATCCGTTTTGCAGAGACAATCTTTGGCGTCCACGATTTTCTTTGTGCAAAGACACTTTTATTATTCGTTTTTTTTTTTTTAATTCAGACTTTTATAAAAAATGAAATATTTTTTCAAATGTATTTTAAAAGTTTAAACTAAAAGATGCAAGAGACATTTAAAGAACGTCGTAAAACTGTCTGATAGATCTCCCATCTGTCACAAGCTATCTGAACGTGTAAAATGTCATTTCTTCCTTGCGAGCGACGACGAAGAATGGCGTTTTTTTACGCACGTCGGCGGTATTCTTTACATTCTACTGTATCGTATAATCAAAACTGCAGTTTCCACGAAACTCACGATAGACCTCGAGATGATCGGTAGCTAATAGAGGTACCTACGATTAACCGGCGTTGAACTAGCAGCCAAAATACGCTCATTACACATTCAACGTACGTGCGCAAGGTGAGAGATGAGGTGCGAGGATACGCGCGCATTCGCATAATTTTTATAAAACTGATCGAAGCGTGTCGCTTCGGCATCATTTTGCCGAAATGCGTAAACTCGCGCCGGTCTCCTTATCAGGATTTGAATACGTAGCGAAATACATCACGTACGCGTTGCGACACGATGCATGGCCAAAAAGTCTTGTTCCTATTCCTTCTAGTGTGTGTATGCGTGTGTATGTGTGTGTCCACGATACGCCATTTCGGTCGGTCGTATCAAGAAAAAAAAACAATTAAAAAAAAGAATAGATGAATGTGAATAAAAACTGGTCTTAAAAAAAGCATACAGCATCTCTCGCAAACGCGTAGATGCGCACGTGGCAATCTTATCTTGCGACCGCCCCGCAGTCAGAGTTCTGTCTATAATGTGTACCATCGTATATAAAACGACCGCGTTCGATGCGCTGTGAACGAGAGGTCGGAACAGAGTGAGAAAAAGCTAGAGAATGATCGCTCGCGCGATTAAATCCCGGTGCGTAGACGCGTAACGGTTTCGCTTAAACATTAATGCGTAGTACTTATAGTATTTTCATCGTTAATTTATTGACCCTAATGTAGAAAACGGCGATAGCCGGGGAAGGTAATAATCGACTGAAAGGAGGGAAGAGGTGAACTAAGATGGACATGCGAGAATTAGTGCGGAACGTCGATATATTAGTACAACGTTACGGTGTAGGATGATGAAATGAAGGATGAGGGATTAGCGTTATTTATCGAAAAATTAGCACGCATTCAGCGATTGAATCGTTGCGATGCAATGGTGCATCAACATACGCGTTATGTTTCGCCGCTGTCGAATTATATTGCGAATAGAAAGGGGTGGGTGAAAGAGAGAGAGAGTGAGGAAGGAAGGGAGAGATTGGTTTACCCGAGGGATGGGATCGATGAAGAGATAATTACGGTCTCGTATATAAGCCGATGCTAAAAGCGAACACGGTTGTAATACGGTAGTCTGTGAGACGATTGAACAGGGCAATGTATAATGATTTGGAGCTCGATGTGATAATATTTATGTGCCAAATAGCGTTTTCGCGGACGGGGGGTTAATCGAAAAGGAGCCCCTAGGAGTCCCGTGTCGCCTTGTTGGCTCGACGTGAAACGAATTTTTGTGTCTTTTTTTCACGTTTTTTTTCTTTTGTTATTTATAATCAGTGCAATTACATACACACAGTACCTAATATAATTTTATAAAGAGAGCCAGTATCCTCGATATATATCTGCACCCGTTTCGTTGGGGCTCGACCGGCGTCAGATTAGGATTTAGCTTAATGTTGATAATAATTTATTTTATGTATATAATGGATTTGTACACACACACACACACACACAATGTGTCGGGAGATAATCATTGATCACGCGATCCGACACGAGCGTCAATATTATTAATGTACAGTGTAACTATATTGTGATGTATCTACGTAGCTACATTATTATACATGTAATTATTCGAAGTATGTAGATTAACAATGTTAAAATGCGATACGTATTCTTATTTTCATTGTCATTATTATCTTGATTATTATTATTATTATCGATGGCACTCATATATTATTATTATCATTATTATTATAAATATTACAGTTATTAATATCATCGTTGCTTATTTAGTACTATTATTTAAGTAATGAGCCTTATTATTTTTAGTAGCGAAAAAAAGGTTGTACGTGCCAGTTTAAACAATAACGGCAAGTAAAAGTTCGTTGTTCGTTAATGCTCGAATACTCAATCAAATTTTAATATGTCGTCATATCTCTGTATAATACACATTTTCTTCCTCCGAACTGTTTTCTTCGTCTGTGATGATTTCGGAATATCGCAAGAGTTTCAATTTTATGTCACATTCGTAAGTTGTATCTTTATTTAAAGTTTTATGTTTTGAAATATGTTTTTGAAGCAATCTTTTATCGCCAATTAAACTTTCAAAGGTAAGCTTGACATATGAAAAGAAAAATATGAAAGAAAAAAAATTTCTTTTAATTAATTTACTAGACATTACTATAGCAATTTTTATTTAGCAGAAATATTAAATATTTCGAGTGAGAGGTCCGCCTGTCTTGCATTTTTTCGATTGTGCCATACCCTTTCATTATTGTGTGAGCATCAAAAATTTAATTGTTTTAATATTTGAAAAATTTTATAAGATTGAGCTATATATACATATATATATGTATCTGATGATATATAAATTACGCGTATAACAAAATTCGGTCCGCAATTCTTTTTTTTTTTTTTCAAAATCTCATCCTTTTATTATTCTCCGCAGTGTTTGCTTTAATAAAAATCGGTTCTGCATTCCATCGATTGCGAATTTTATTTATTCGATCATTTATTTAAATTAACAGCGATATATTTAGTTCGTAGCGATCTCCTTAATTTCGGATATCACGATACGCAATAATCTCAATACACGATTATTATATTTACTGGCCTTTATATGCAACCAATGCGAATGCAAACTGTAAGAATAGTAAATTGTAAATTGAATTATACACTACTAATATTATAGTATATTTAACGTAAAGGAAAAAAAAAGTGAACATTAACACCCGCTCTCAATATTCCAAGCATTCACTTCATTTACATGTACGTTGTTGTTAATGGTATAAAAAAAATATAATAAAATAATGCTTTACCGAAATTCAATCTTAGTTTTAGGTATACTATTTCTAAATGAAACTTGTATGTATGAGGAATATGTATATAGTTCTGCAATACCAGTGCATATGGTGGAAGGGAGATAAAGTGAGCAAGAAAGAAAGAGAGAATGATAGAGCATATAAAAAGTCAGATGCATGTGTGGATGGAATAAAATTCTTGCGTTCATCTTAACACTACTAGTATCGTGATTGTAGTATCCCAAGTAGCCAACTGACGTTATTAAACATCAATGACATCATTTTGACATTTAATGACGTCACTTTGCTGCCTGGGATACTATCGGTATCAATAGCGTAAAATCAAAATAAATATTTAGGATGGTGGGTAAATATCGCTACTGATAATAACTATTTTAAATTTTATTTATTGATACGTACTCATAATATGGAATAGTCTGTCTTCATCGTAGTAGTGTTAAGATGAGCGTATAAAGCATACAGTAGAATAAAGGAAAAGTCATACTTTGGAACACACATAGTGTTGTATAATTGTCTAAAAATGTAGCACCTTGCACTTACTGAACGAAACATCATGTCGGGAAATAAGACATTTTTATTAAATGTTAATTGAAGACTTTGAAATAGAAACCTCTTATCAAGAACGTACCACAAGCTGGCTGTGAGTCACGTAACTAACTCTCCTTCACGTTTCATTTCTTTACAAGCATATCATTATTGCTTAAGTAAATAAAAAAAAATATATATATATATATATACGAATAAACATTGGTAAATTGCAATTATTCATTTATGTTAACATCACCCAAAATGACTTTTCCTCATAGATAGAAACATCAAACGCACTGTATCACAATAGAGAGCAGTACACTATTATAAAAATATATAAATATATGATTATATTTATTATAATAATTTGAAAGCTAGGTACTCTTTGTTGTTTGTATTTTACAAGCGTAATCATTATTACATATAAATAAATATAAACTATATAAATGAATAAATGCAAGTCTCATTTTTACATGCGCACATCTTAAAAATAAAAAAAAAAAAAAAACAACGAGATAAGCACAATTTTTAATTTAATGATACCGAAAATACATCGTTAATAAAAATAAGGTTTCATCTATTTGTAACTCTGTAGCATTCAGTTTCTTGATTGCATTTTGTGCTTTTTCAAGCTGTTGAGTTTCAGATGGCGTCATCATTTCTGCAATCTAGAAGGAAAATAATATTTTGTCATTAATTTGAAATTCTTTTTATCTCTATATAAATGTACAATATATTAATGTATTACATCAGCCAGTTGTTGATCCGTAGCACCATGTTCCTTCATATTAGCAGAAAGTATCTGCACTCTTAATTGTTTTTCTATCATGCGTTTATTACTGGTTAAGTCATGGTCTCGTCTTTTTATAATGTTATATAATGCTTGACAACAATGTTCAATTTCCATTTGAACAACTTTTATCAGATCAATATAAATGTGGAATGGTCCTTTCGTTGGTGCAGTCCAAGTTCCAATTTTCTTTACCTCTTGCATTTGTATGTAATTTTCTTGTGCCAAAATATACGTTAAGGCTTTAGCATCCTTTGCTGGAATCATTGCTAAGTGTTGAATTCGGTCTAGATTAACATTTTTTTCTATGCGCACTAATCTAAAATCATAGAAAAATGAATATAAAAGTATATGATTTGCTCTTTTTTATAACAAGGTAAAGTAAACCTTTGGAGTATATTAGATATTTATTCTTGCCTAAAAATTCTTGCAGCTTTAGAACCAAATCTTTCCGTTATAATACTTTCTATGGTTGTCCACACTAGCTGTTTAAATGCATTTTTCATATTAATACTATATTGGCCACCACCAGAATCACCAACTCGTTTAATAAATTGACTACTATCTTCTTCTATAAGTCGCAGATATTCAGCAAGATATTGTTCGAGTTCTGAATAACTCAATTTCTTAATTTCCTCCTTTATTTCAGTATATGGGATTGGATTTGATGTAGCTTCCCAAGATGCAGTACGCAAATACATCAAATTGATCAATTGTCTCATTAATTCTCCAGCATTTTTGTCAAATCTCTGAGTCATGGCCGATATAACAATTTTATCTCTAATGTAAATAATTGTAAGTTATATAATATTGACATTTTCAGAATTAATAGACAGATTAATAATCTTACCTAAAATCTTGTGTAAATCGGTCAAAATTGACCTGCCAATATAGCTTACTATCTCCAGGATCGACGTTTTGTCCTTGTAACATTTTAGAAATGGCTGTCAAATCAAGATGCGGTAAGTTATAGTTGGGTTTTTCAGTATTTTCTGCTTTTGTCTCAAAGGATGTGCTGTGCATTAAAAATTGGTTTTTTACTAACATTTCAAATACAGTTTTCAAATTTATGACAGAAAGTTGCTGAGTATCTAAAAAAAATATTTGGATTATTAACACAACAGATCCTGTTTATAGAAATTATTGTTATAAAGATAGAAAATCAAGAAATAGTTTATAAATATATAAACACAATAAATATATATCTAAATTATACATACATTTAGAAGGTGTCGCCTCAATTCGTTTATATGTTTTTATTATAACTTCAGATGCTGTGATATATCCATGCTTTAATACTTCTTCAAACATGATTTCACCTTCATCTCCACAGTAAGTTTTTGCAAACAGCATATATCTGCAATAAATAATGTCTATAATAAATAATGTTTCTATAGTATATTAACAATAATCATTTTTACAAATATTTATAAATACTTATTTGACTTGACAAATAAGAATACCTTGGATAACGAAGAAGCATAATAATTTTCTTGCAGTTTAAGGTATACTGAATATCTTTTTCATTCTGTTGATAAGTGACAAAGCCAAATTTCATAAGGACACACAATCCTTCTTTTATCTAAGAGTGAGAAAATTACACACACACACAATTAAGGATATATATAATATCAAAGAAAGAAAAATTCTTAATACAAAATATAAATAGTACAAAAGTAGATATAAAAAGTTAATATATTGCAGTAATAATTTGTATCTAGTATACAAAAGTTACCTTCATTAATGGTAATTTTGTATCAAATTGTATAACAGCTAATGATTTTGTTCCATATAACAAACTCTTTCCTATACATTGGACAATAGATCCAAAATATTCTTCTAATAGTAGCATACATAATTTGCTATGATAATCCTTCATATTTGTAATTTATACAAGCTTCTCATACATTCGATACACAAGTCCAAATGCTCTAGTATTATCCTGTACTGAGCACCTAAAACATAATTTAATATTAATAGATAATTTTAGGAAATTTAGGAAGTTTGTTAGGAGGAAAGAGGAGCTTAGAAAATTTTGATTTGAGATAGTTCATCTTGGCAAATTTGCTGTATTGGCTCTTGTAGCAATAGATTCTCTATCCTCATTAATAGATTATTTAAAACAAAAGAGACATCAAAACATATTTATATCAACAATGTCTATTCTAGACCATGCACATTAACACATTGTTATTTAGTTTTTGTTTATGCATACATAAATGCAATTTTGTTTATGTATACATAAATGCAACATCAATAAAGCATTTAAATTAGCAGAAAGATGTACGTTTTATCTGGAAAAAATTTTCCAAAATTTTTAAAATTTTTGAAGTTTACATTTAACTCTCTTTTATATTAAATTCTATTATATAAATAGGAATTATATACAATAATATATTTTTATTTACTTACATTAACCCTAACTCTAACCCTTATTTCTAGCATGCATGTTTTCTGGACACATTGCTAACATTAAGGCCTTATATGCATGAAAAATCCGGATTGGAGACTGGACTTCAAACCTAAGTTTGACCAATCAAATCAAAGGAGTAAAACTTCCTGTGTCTTGATTGGCTAATTGAATTCATTCTCACGAGTAGAATTTTTGGACGCACTTTTGCGTGAGTGATTCGTACGTGTATGAATATCCACTTATTAATTGATTTATATCTCAGCATTAATAACCCTGAGTCGAAACTTCACACTGTCATCGCGCGTAATCTTCTAAATTAACTCAGGAGTTTGTCTGTCACTTTTGCTGACCTTTTGGTAAATAATTTGATAAATATTTTTTATTAATGAAATATTATTACAGTGTACTATTATTATATTTTGTCGTGATATTTTTCGTAATTAATCAAGATATTTTCGGGACTAATTAACTTTACGCCATTAATATTAAATACTTTTATATAATCGGAAATCTTGTCTTATATTAAATTTAAAAATTTATTTATAAAAATAATAATTAATATGCAATAATTAATACATTAGTGAACTTTTTTATTTTGCTAAAATATTAAAAAAAAATTAGAAATATTATTTTTTGACATGTTATATATATATCACATATACATATATACATAAAATATTCAGTAACGCGATATCGAATATGAATGGCAAAGCGAATCATTAATAATTCTATGCCTATTTGAAATCTGCGGCGCCGTGGCAACAGCACTTCCGGCGGAACATCAGTGTCGTAGATGATCACGTGATCGAAGATCGACTTCTTCGTTTGTGGCCACGAGGTTTTGTGGTGAAAATTAAGTTTACCGGGTGGAAAAAGCCCCCTATTTTTGTAGTTATACAAAAATGCCCTCCAGCAACCCATTGCCGCCAAAAGAAAATGCCTTGTTTAAGCGAATTCTGGTGAGTACACGCCGATCAAAATATTCTGTTTTGGACCCCACTCTTCGGCTAATAGGGTACACTCTCATGCTCTAATGATAAAGCACTCTTTGGGAAAAAACGGGAAAAACTCACTGGCGATCACGGTACGCGATGCCACGCTTCACTTTATGAATGAAAAGTCGCCTCGCTCGGCGACATTTCGCGACCATTTCCTACGAAATGCGGAATAAAACACTTGGAATGTCCCTTTTAACCCTCCTGGAATTTTTCACTACTGTAATTTCTCACACCAGACACGTATTTCTTACAGAGATGCTACGAGCACAAGCAATACAAAAATGGGTTAAAGTTTGCCAAGCAAATCCTGTCAAATCCCAAGTTCAGTGAACATGGAGAGACCTTGGCGATGAAAGGTTTGACACTGAACTGTTTAGGACGCAAAGATGAAGCTTACGATCATGTACGTCGTGGCCTCAGAAATGACCTACAGTCTCACGTTTGCTGGCATGTCTATGGTCTTCTACAGCGCTCTGACAAGAAGTACGACGAGGCTATCAAATGTTATAGAAATGCGCTCAAATGGGATAAGGACAATATTCAAATTCTTAGGGATTTGTCGTTGCTTCAAATTCAAATGCGGGATCTGGAGGGCTATAAGGTAAATACTTCAATGAGTACATTATGTTGTTTTTGCTATTTGATTATACTTTGTAATTGTATATTTTAACCGATGTCTTTCTTTTTCTTTTAGGATACCAGATATCAGTTGTTTATGTTACGTCCTACTCAACGAGCTTCTTGGATTGGTTTTGCTATTTCGTATCATTTGTTGAAAGATTATGAAATGGCATTGAAAATTTTAGATACTTTTCGAAATTCTCCAATGGTATGTATTATATATAATTACATATAAATGTATCAAAATTTTTATAAATACAACAATTGACTTTATGCGGTAAAAAAAAGATGTAATAGAAATATTTGTAATGTGTGCAGATTTGTTATGATTATGAACATAGTGAATTGCTCTTGTATCAAAATATGGTCATCCAGGAATCAGGGGAATGTGAACAAGCATTAAAACATTTAGACAAGTATAGTGATCAAATTTGTGACAAGGTCACTGTAAAAGAGACTTATGGTATATTGCAATGTTTTTTTTATAAAAATTTGCTCATATCCATTATATATAATTAATCTATATTTTTGTAATTTTTTGTTTGTTTTTTCAGGTAAACTAAGACTTCAATTAAAGCAATTTGCAGAAGCGGAACAAGTTTACAAGGAGTTATTAGATATTAACCCCGAAAATACAACATATTATACTAGGCTAGCAGAGGCTGAAAGACATAGCTCACCAAGCGAAACACTGCATATGCTCCAAAGATATGAAGAACTCTTCCCTCGAGCGTTAGCTCCACGCCGTTTGCAACTCAATTATGCGTCAGGAGATGAATTTAAAGTTTTAGTTGATCGATATTTACGGAAAGGTAATTTTCTTCCTGCATATATAATTATTTATTTAAACGAGACTTTTATAAAATGCATGATGTATATTTAATTAAATTGATTTTTTTGCAGGGCTTCATAAAGGTGTGCCACCGTTATTTGTGAATCTTCGTTCATTGTATACTGATAAAGAAAAGGTCGAAATCATATCATCTTTACTTCTGCAATACAAGGAAGCGTTAAAACTTCACGGTCATTTTAGCGATCAAGAAAAAGATAATCCAAGAGAACCAGCATCTGCTTTATTGTGGACATATTATTACCTAGCACAACATTACGATTATCTCGGTCAAACAGAAAAGGCATTACTTGAAATTGATGCTGCCATTGATCATACTCCTACACTTATAGAACTTTTTGTTACCAAAGGACGCATTTACAAGGTAAGCCTTTATATACTTGTCTCAATTACACATTTTAATTGCAAGCAAAGATATAGAAGATATATAATCTAAAAAAATTTGTTGATAGCATGCAGGAAACGTTCAAGAAGCTTATAAGTGGCTTGACGAAGCGCAGGGGTTAGATACAGCAGATCGATATATTAACTCTAAATGTGCCAAGTATATGCTTCGTGCGAATCTTATAAAAGAAGCGGAAGAGACATGCGGGAAATTTACGAGAGAAGGAGTTTTAGCTATGGAAAACTTAAATGAGATGCAGTGCATGTGGATTCAAACAGAAGCAGCAAACGCTTATAAACGCCTTGGAAAATATGGAGAGGCATTGAAAAAATGTCATGAAGTTGATAGGGTAAGTTGTATATATTATACATTTGAAATGTACATCATATAATCTGCTATTATAATATTGCTATTATTTACAGCATTTTTCGGAAATCATAGAGGACCAATTCGACTTTCATACATATTGCATGCGGAAGATGACGTTACGATCTTATGTGGGTCTCTTGAGGCTAGAGGACGTTTTACGAGCTCATCCGTTTTACTTTAAAGCAGCGAAATGTGCAATGGAAGTTTATTTGCGACTGCATGATTATCCTTTGCCAGATCCAGCACAGACACAGGAGATCGACACTGGTGAGTCTTATTATTTATTTGTATTATATATTTTTTAATGCTAAATTATTGTTTTGCTTCTTCGTATATCATCAATAAATTAAATATCAGAGAGATTGTATATCTCTAAATAATAATAATTATTGACATGGGAAGAGTTGAAATCACATTTATATTGTTGTCACTTTTTGAATAGTTTTCATATATATTTTTTATAAACATTTAATCAAAGTTAAAAATTAATCTGTGCATTAGTATGCACTATATATGTATAGGAGCATGCGTTTAATTTAAAAAAGTGCAAAACTATCATATTGCTGCTACACTTGTCAACCATTCTAATATTTAGAATAATGCTTTTCTAATTGACTAATATTATATTACAATTGAATGCAATTGTGATTTTTATTGGCATATTGGTATAACAATGTTTGAAAAATATCTTAAGTAATATATCATTGATATGATATAATTTATGAAACATTAATATTCATATGGGATATGTATAATTCGTGTAAAAAATTCTTTAAGACTCAAATTGCATCGAATAGAGAGATTCGCGTCAATACTTATTATTTAATATATCTTTTATTTTATTTAATTTTATTTGGCAAATAGAGAACAATTAAAAAAAAAGTCGCAAACCAGCGCCATATATTGGCTCTGTTTCTTATTTATCTACCGTCGAAGCGCACGCATTAGACGGCCAACTAATGTCAACTATATAGATATATATGTACATGTAATATTTTATCATTAATCACAGATAATGTGCAAATACGCGATATACGATACGCGCATAACACAAATAGCACACGCAAGAATGCAATCGCATACCTATATACGTACGTTCTAGGGCGGGAGAGTCGGGATTGCGGTAATAAATTAAGCATTTCTCGTAAAACAGCGTAACTATATAATTATCTAACTTAGTCACACAAAATTCGTATTTACAGATACAATAAATATGTTAATAGTACACGCGCGACGATACACGGAGAGAATTTTTCGTTACATTTTATCGCAAAATTTACTACAAATTTTATCATGTTTGTATTCATAATAAATTAAGCTGGACTAAAAATATGTATAAAATGTATTTATATAAAATTTTATGTTTATCACTTTTTTGACATCTATTCTATCTAAAACACTTAAAGAATATAAGTTTTGAATATATTTTAAAATCAATGAAATTTTAATATATATTTTAGTAAAACTAATAAAACATCAGAGAAGTTCTTATGAAATTCTTGCACGATTACCATGAATTTCAGGATAAATTCTAAAAGAAAGTTCTCTCTGTGTAACATCGCGCCGGACATCCGCGAGATTATGGCATCGTGCGTCGAAAAAACGCGCGAGGAGATGATGCTCAGACGCTTTCAGACGTTAGCCTGGCGCCGTCTCTGTCTCAATAATCTCGGTCCTCTCGACTTCGGATACACGTATCCGCCATTCTGCTCCGGTCGTTGCGTGATCGCCCGCGGTGTCAGGAAGTAAAAGTGGCCGACGTCGCCAGGTAATCGGTAGGCAAAGTACGCGTTCGGATTGCCCGAATGATTGTCCTGCAGCGAAGCGGGATCGATGAATTCGGCATCGGGATTTATAGCCGGACGCGGATTTCTATAATTCACCTTGATGTCATCCAGCAACGACACGGGTTCCTGAATGTCCTCAAACTCCTCCCGGGACTCGGACAGGGGCAAGAAATTGTTGGTATTCCGATTGCTTGGCTGTATCGTGTTTTGCACTAGGTAACGAGAGGTCGGTCCGTGCTGTTGAACTCCCTGATTTTGCAACCGGTAGTTATCCGTCCGCAATTCGTAGCTCGCCAAAGGCGACGGCTGTTTCGGCTGACGCTTAGGCTCGATTGTCTCGATGAACTCGCTATCGGGATTGATCGGCGGTAAGGGTCTCTGGTAATTTACTAGGGTATCGTCCTTGAGGGAGTAGGGTCGGTGCGACTGATCGCCGTAATGCACTTTGACATTGGGCGTTTTGTAAGTCACCGGTCGTTCGTTCTTATATATGTTCGACGACACGTAAGCGTGCTCAGGTTTCTCCGTGATGCTGCTCGACTTTCCATAGATCGGAGTCGTGCTCGCTATTTTAGAGTCCGACAGTTTCTTGCCGAAGATCGTGAAATATTCTTTCGTAACGTCGTCCAACAATTTCTCGTCCTGCGGCGTGAAATACGCGTGTTGCGGATTCGACGTTGTCTCTAAGATCGGATAGGCGGTACTTGTGGAATAGACCACCGGATGTTGAGTTTTATACGTGGGTATGCGTTTCTGTTGTTGCCGCGTAGGCAAGTCGATATCTTCGTAATCGTACTGTTGATTGCTCGATTTCACGTCCTGATATTCATTGTATACATCCTGTTGCTCTCGACTATGATACGGCGATCTTGGATTGTCGCCGCGTTTCGAATAATCCGCTACCTGGAAACTGTACTGATAAATCGGCTTGGCCTTCGTGGTCTGATGATAATACCTTGGTGACTTCGGAGTCGTGTAATACGTTTGCAGAGGATGCGCAGGCACGGGCTGATAATACACGGGCGCCTCGTCGGCTAACATATGTTGGCTCTGATCCTGTGGCAAGTTGGTGTTGAACTTTGAAGACGAAACCTCTGAACTGTCGGTGTATTGGAACGTTTGCGAATTCTTCACGATGCTATCGATGATCTTCGTCTTGTAATCCTTCGGGATCTCGTCCGTCGCGATCGTCTCGACGGTGTAATAATGCTTTTTCTGTTCAGTCTGCCGAGGTTGCGACTTCTCCGCGTCGTAATACGGCGATTTGGTAGTGGTTTCGTAATAAACGGGCGACGACTTCGCCGAATTGTCGTCGGTTGACTCCTCGTAGAAGTAATAAGATGCGTGATTGCGAGATCGATCGGGTTGACTAGTGGTGATGATGCTCTTTATCGAGGCCGGGGTCACCTCTACTGGTCGAACTAATTTCAAGGAGGATTGCGTGGTCGAAGGATAATACGCGAGAACCGGCACCTTGCTGGTCACCAAAGTGGACCAATCTTTCTGCTGGGTCGTCGCTTCGGATACTTGATTCCCGTTTACGGAATTGATAGTATATATCTCGGTGTTCTCGAGGGTGTGCGGTTTCCCCGAAGTCCTCGTCGTGATCTCTACTTTGGGTACGGTTTTTTGTTTAGGTGCAAAGGTATCCGACGCATTTCTACTCGTTACACGACCGAAAGACACCTTCGTGCTGACCGACGAAGAAGAAGTCGTCTTGATTATCGAGGTCGGCAGGACGGATGAAGCTTTATATTGTTTAGTCGTAAACTTTCTCGGTGGCAGATAGGTCGGTCTCGGCGAAGTCGTGGTCGTTGGTGGCCGCTTCGTGTACTTCTTCGTGATCGTCTTTTTGTCGTCCAGAGCGGAAAAGAAGTCCGGTGGAGGCGGCAATATAATTCCAGGTACTAGAGGCCCTGGTGGTACAGCTGTCGTATTATCTTGCGGATAATAGAAGCTATATGGCGGCGGATAATAGATCGACTGATCTTCCTCGTCGTAATCCGACTGATTACTCGGCGGTGCTACGAAGACCGCACCAGGCGGGATGGCGTGATAGAACGGTGGAAGGACGCCAGGCAGCTGTTCGGGTCTCACTCCCTTATCCTGATCTTTGTTACCTCTGATCGACTTCTCCTCGACGGAGAAGTTTCGCGGGGGACCGGGATCCGGGGTGAATATCGTGCCGTTCGGGGTGATAGCGAAGAACGGACCCTCCCCGGGTAGTAATCCCTTGGTGTAGAGAGGATCTGTGCTGTAATCGAGGGTGCCGTTGCCAATCTCCTCCGTGGTCCCATTCGGACCGATGATCCGTATCGATTCTCCATCCGCGAGCTGTACCGGAAAGGGTGGCGGTACCTTGGGCCTCGTTGGTATCTTGACCTGCCGTTTGGGCGCCTTGTAATCGTCGATGGGCGGCCATTCCGGCTGCGGGCTGTCGCTGCTCTGTTGCTGTTGACCGTCCTGCTCGTGCTCGGGAAAGTTCCCGCCTCGCAGCACTAGGACGTGATTTTCGGCCAGCCAGATCTCCTCCTCGTCGAGACCACCCAGATTATCGGCCGTGTCTCTCGGCACTTCGGGATTGCCGAGGTAACTAATGATGCCGGGCCGTTTCGGCCGTTCCCCGTAAATCTCGTTCTGTATAAGGCCGTACTTGCCCTCCTTGACCTGCTGGGAGAGCGTTTTTTTCTCGTCCTCGTCGTCGCCGTTGTTGCGAGGGCTTTTCCCCTCTTTCCCGTTCCCGGCCGCGGACATGAGAATTCCGTCGTCCCATAGCGACTCTCCGCCGTCTCGGTGTCTCGTATCGACTCTCAGGTGACCCCCGACCAGACGGTGGGACACTTTCCTTCCGGGTTCCGCGGTGATCTCATTGTTTGTCGTCCCTCGATCGCTCGATGCGTGTTCCTTGACCGATCGATGACTAGATTCTTCGGTACCGACGTGCCTTCGCAATCTGCTCGTCGACGATCCCGTTATCGTCGCGCATATCAATATTAGAGCCAATGACAGCCGTGAAAATGATATCAGACGCGTCATCTGAAAATAAAGAACGCTCGTATTATTCACCTCGCTTCTATTTATACGCGTATTTATTTTTGTAACACGATTGGAGAATAGTACTTGAGAATCATTATTTTTATTCCGCGTGTACACGAGATGTATATTATAGTATTTAACGGGAAAGTATGCAATATCTTCAAGTGCATTTTATTACGCAAACTTGGTGCGCTAATTAAATAACGCGCTTTATTCTCTACACGTTGCGTGAAATGATTTCTGCGCGTTTAATAGATCAGTAAAAAGATTTGCAGACACACGAGGTATAAAACAGTTATTCACAATGACCGGAATTACGTATAGACGTCAGTGAATATAGCGCGCGCTTTCCAGCGCGTATGTCAAGGATTTTAATTGCGTAACAATACCAATTAATTCATGAACAAAGTATATGTTTATGTTCGTGCTCTAGCAAGATTATTACTGTCCCGCAATTTAATTTCTTACTGGGAACATAAGATTATGCTAGTTATGATTCTCCCTATCATTATTTGATAGAAATTATGTCAGAATTAGAAATCTTTGAAATATTTTCAGCATCTTTCTTTAGATAGATAGAGAGAGCGAGAGATTACGTATATTTTAGGAAATTGAACATAATTAAAAACATAAATATGAAAATTTGACATTTCTTCGATGCATAACTTAAAATGCATCGGCAATACCATCGCGAGATGATGAAGTCTTTGCAAATCGTGCGATTAGCATTCCAAGATTTTGTTCGTGCATTCGAAGAATTCGTTAATTTCGTCGATTGCAGTGATATGAGAATGCGATATTGAGGAGGGCTGCCACGCCTTTCTCCGGTGAACAGATCGGTGAACGGTCGACAAACATTCACGGGTCACCGGAGTAGATCAGACCGACTCTCGTAATGACTTGCGACTGAGTAACGAACCGGAGAGCGCGCGAGCAATGTAGGTTTCTGTTCGGTATATACACGTTTGCATTCACGGCTCGCCGATATGCATTAGCGGCATATGCGAGCGCATTGCCGCAATACTTGCAACGTGGCCGTGTAAATTTGCGGAAGTAACGCCGGCGTGAGCAACACGATAATGCGCTTCCGACAGCGGACGTCGCACTTTGCCTATCTCGACACTTTTCTGAAAATCTTCTAGTTTCCTCCGATTTCGCGTTTATCCACGACTCAAGGCTGCATCCTACGTTATTTTGATATATATGTATATTCAGTCAATTTGGAATTTCTATAAATAGAAAGTCGTTATATAAATAACGTTGTGCAAGTAATATGATTGAAATATGGGCTCGTAATTGCGGTGAAAAATATTGCACAATAATTGTACATTAATCTTGAATTTAAATATTAATTTCGGTAATTGATATAATTTTTAATTTTAATTTTCGAAATTTTTTTGCTAATTTTTTTTTTAATTTATATCTGCGATTGATTTTTTTACGAATCTCAAATTATATTTGTCTAATAGACGCGAAACTTTAAACCGTACCTTTCTCCCGGCATCCGGAATGATATGACAAACGTTTACCAGGATTTCTGGTATGTCGTTGAATTGCTGTAATTGAACTGCCGCACGCAATAATGCGCTTCTTCCGAGAACCTGCAAAGTGGCCTGTCCGACGATAGAGACGTAAAACACCTTACGTGAGTGCACTCGATTTCTCCGCGCAAGTAACTACTTAATCTACGCGAACTACGTGACGGAACATCGGCGTTTAACCGTGCAGAAGGAATCAATGAAATACATAATACTCGATCACTGATGTACGTGATCAAAGTCATCAACATGTCCTTAACATCTGTTGAAAGGAATTTTCCGTGTGATTCATCATATTATAATGTAGACAGTATAAATATATAGATATTTATCGACGATTTCTCTCGTCAATATAATTTTTATAACTGTTTTCTTAGAGTTATTATCTTCAATGAGTTTTCATCACAAAAATGAATGTTTGAATCATTCAAATTCCCGAAACAATGAAAATATCAGAAAGTAGGCGATTTCAAAATTGTACAAATGTTAAAAATCTAGGATGAATTTTCTTTACGAAATCATTTTTTGTTTTTCTGCATCACAATTGACGAAAACACTCCCTATAATTAATTTATTCTACGATTTAATCTCTTTATTTTTTTTAATCGACACTATCCACATTACGAAACAAATAATTAATGTTCTATCTTATCCAGAATCGTGTTGCGATACATTGCGATAAGTCCTCGAATTAAGGTTCTCCAATATAAATGCACTCCACTTTGCACTCCTGATAAGCGGCCACGTATTTTCGATATTTTGATCGGCCACGTGTTTCCGATATTACGATAATACGATTGGAAAACCGTGTCGGATTTGGAACCGCGGGTATAACCGCTCGTACCGGCATGGTACACGTGACTGGCGGATTTTCATCATTCTCTCTCTCGGTGTACCGGGCCCCCCAAGGACGTTTGTCGGGGAAGGTGGGCATTTCCACCAGGCGATAGCGATACATGTACGTGTACGCTTCACGATGGAAAGCAGGAAGTCGCGGTCGATTCGTACGATTAACGATCATAATTAGATCGTTACTTAGTATATCTGCTATTATTTTAGCGTCGCTGGTTACGCTGTCTTCACGTGGCGCGGAAGGGAGGGCACATAACTTCGAAAAGTACAATAAACGTATAATGTCGCGGGATCCTTTCACTTTCGTCAGGAATCCGAGATGTTATATTCGATTTGCTTACTTTTTACTTACGATGCTAACGTGACAAACGGCGACAGAATCGCGTGCGTTCGCTTGGATTTGCCGCGCGATTGCCTAACCATCCGGTAACAAAACCTTTTTGTACCGACAACATAAACGCGTTATGCTCATAAATCACACCCACAGTGTATATTCTGCCTCTCCGTCTAGTTTTGTCGGCGCAACACGCGATTCTCTTTTATAAAAGTTGGCTGAACAAGCAATTCTCGGCGGTTCATTCACCGAAATTGCGATCTTGAATCGGTTCACTGACTTCAACGTCTAGATCCAATATTAACTTAGGAACTTTGTTGTGTGTTATGGGTTAGGAACTGAATAATCTTTTCTTCTCTCTCCATGTATTTTACACAGCATTCCCGACAAAATGTATAATAGCTTTGCAAACGAGATTATTGCAAATGAGTAGAGATCATATTAGCCAAAATGGAGGCGACCTGATTCCGCGAGACGTGATGCAAGACTTGCGATTCCCGCTGGCAAGTGCCATTACATTACCTTTAGAGACTTGCTCTAATAAACGTTTGGAGTTCACATTGTTACGACCGGTAGTAAATCATTCTGGAAAAAGTTAGAAACTTTTTCAAACAGACGTAATAATTACGTTTGTCACGCGACAGTTTTTAAAACTCTTGAAAAGAAAATAATTATTTTTTTTCTTAATTATATTTTTTGCGACATATTCACATTATGTGTTATGATTAATGTGTTATATATCTGCTTCTATAACAGATTTTTTATTTTTGTTAAAAAAACTAATATTTAATCATATTTAATCAATACGTCAAATTGTTTGAACGTGTAATTTCCCTGTTATAAATTAATTATCCCGGAATATAACGGAAGTCGACCTTGGACCATCGAAGCTGTGTTCTACGATAAAACGACATTGAGCCATCGCACTAGTCCCGTTAAAGTGAAAGGCCGGGGTGGCGGAACGAGATCTCTTTGTAAAACACCTTCAATGTTGATTCATCAGATAGGTATCATTTGTTTTGTCAGGTCGATCATAATATATGATTCACAGCTATACAGTGTTATTTTAGCATTAGAAGTACCTGGGAAGCATTTCCAATTTTGTTATTATTAACACGATCGTGTGTATCCCCGTATATTTTGTAATTGACTAAAAAGCATTGATTTCTGTTATTCGTAATCGTACACCTCATTACTAATCGACGAGTATCTTGTAATATAAACTTATGTACCGAGCACCAGCACGTAAGAACCATGCGGATCTATCCGTTATTCAATCGAATTTACGCTTTCAGCTACTTTCCTTTTTGTTTCGCGTTGTGCTCGCTGAGCAGGATTAATTTCTCGACGCTGACTTTCGGCACGTCGCGCTCGCTCGCATAATAATGATTTTACAACCAGGCATAGAAACTTTTGGGGTACATCCTCGAAACCGGGAGGACAGGCACACCTTTTTGCTCACAGGAAATCGATAATTGACTAACGGCATCCTGTGTGACACGCCTTTGGGGTTTCGCGCGGTTGCTTCTTTATTTAACAATCTTCTATTAGCAATTCATAATCGTTTTATTCGAATAGGTTGCACGATAGATTATTGACAGACATACAATTTGTTACAAACTTGCTCCCGCGCGTAAGAGTGAAAAAGGAGAAAACTGAACCGCGAATGCGAAGAAAATTATCTCTATCACTTTCAGAGGCAAGGATAAGTCTGATTATCTGTGTTACCTAGACACTCAATAAGCACGCTGCACTTGATGCCATATATTAATAAACCGCCTCAAGCTACGGGTAGTCGTGAATTAAATTAGCATGTTGGATATGTTATTACTCCACTTTCTTCGGTCTATATAGATTACTTTCTTCTATCCCCAAAGTAAAAAGATTCGTATATAAATTTAATGTCTTATTATTCTTGCGTTGCATGGCATAAATTACTTTTGACACATCAATATGATGCGATATCAAAGTCATATCGATCACGGTTGCTAAAAAAATTCTTAGGTTCTGCTCTTAACAGAAAAATATTGTGAAGCTTACTCATCTGCCAGTCTAATAATATTCCATTACTTAGCAACTATACAATTGTCTGCTTGTTCAACATATCGTGCGGTGAGAAATCCATGAATACGCCGTGTCACGTCAGCATTCGTGCAATGACGATTATTATCGACGCGTATTATAGTCGGAGGTAAATCCCCCGGCTCCAGAAGAAATCGCCGTAGAAACGTCAGGGAAGAGTAGCACTAGGAGTGGAATACCTTGGCATTGACCGGCTTGCTTCGCCGAGGCAGACCGCGCGCGCTTGCATAATCTGCTCGTCTCGTCTCGCTCATCCCGGGGTACCCTCTCACACAACGGATTACGGCATCGACCGCATCTCGTAGGCAAGCATCTTGCTCTTGAGGTTGAGGTGGCTCTCACCGGTAATTGTTCGCGCAGCGGAATAATCCTTTAACGGCGTGCAGAAATGCGAATGTAAAACGCGCGCGAATATATGGAAAGAACTCATCCTATATCCCGGGTCGACGACTGGAATTTCGCGAATAAATTCCTTCTTCTGTTTTATACATATATCGATGGAAACTGCAGGGACGGAATGACGGATACGATGTCTTTCTTCGTTATTAGGGGTTTCGAAGACTCAAACGAGTCTTATGTAAGTTAATTGTAACTCTTGTTCTGCGGAGCAATTTTATTTCTTCATCTTGATCTTGTTTATTTAGATGATCGTGTAATATCCTTTTAGTATGGAATTATAGTCAAAGCGGATCTCAGAAGAAAATATTCTGAGATGAATTATTCTCTATTGCTGGTTAAAATAATTCTTATATTAATTGTATGATACCGAAGTATTTTGTATATAGATGAAATTTCGTAGCGATGACATTTGAAGATACATTACATGCATGCATATGATGTTTCGAATTGTATAAAGTAGTAAAATAATATATAATATTTTATCATTTTAGCAGATTATTTGCATTCTTTATAAATGACATTTGATCACTACTTGTATTTCGTTGTCGAGAATAGTTTTCGTTTCATGTTCATCATGAGATTTGCACGACATGAATAGTCTTTCGATACAATCTTATGAGCATACGAATCTTACGATATGCATTGTGTAAGAGTGGCGGAATATACAGAGTGCAATATATAGTTGATGGCGAATATGGATACCAGTTTATGTTCACACCCGTCGTTCAATAAGGTTAACGGGCCAATTTCGAGCCACGAAGCGATTTCTTTGCCTTTCTTTCCGATAAATTTAGTATTGAAAACGAGTAAAACGAAACTTTTATCATACCAAACGATCTCGTTAGGTTGCATTCAAAAATTTAACACAGTATATATCGAAACATATACAAGTCACATAAATATTATCAGTAAAATCTCATTATCTCTTACTTGCCACATTAATTACGCAAAATAATCACAATTTCGAAAAATCCTCCGAAAAAATTCATTTATTTTTGCATTTTTTAAGAGAAAATTTGGTCGTCGATTCTTAAAGTTATCAAAATCTGTCAAAAATTTTTAGCAATAATCTACTTGAAAAATTCTTTCGCGTAGTGACCTGCATGTCTTGAGGCAACAGATGACCAAATTCGATCGGCGAAAAATCTAAAGAAACAGGTCAAACTGCAATCCCTCGCGCACTAAAGCTCGGAGATTGGCCGCAAACCTTCGTGGCGCAATAATTCGTACAATAAATACATCTGTGCTAATCTCATCAGCTTGTTAGCTCCGCATGTTTTCAACTCGCATTGGTCCGACCGTTCACCTTCAGGATAGATAAGAATTGTAAATCTTGCAACATTCTTGAGTGTGCACTTTGCGATGTAAAATTATTTGCGTTCTTTTGAGAGTACAATTTCTTTAAGAAATTATTTTACAGATTTCATCTTCATCTTGCAAATAAAAATGATGATCTCGAATTTTGAAATATCGTAAATGAATTCATAAGCAAGATCTGGCCAAATCTATAATTTTGAAAAAAAATGCTTTATCCTTCTGTGAATTTTTATCTGCGATTCACTCGGAAAAAATTATAACTCAGACACATATTTCCGACAATATAGTTTATCTTTCGATCGATCGTTATTCCGCCGCATACTTGCGATGGTATGAGTTTTAACGATGATTGTTTAATTAACACGAAATAAGACGTGCGTGTCGCGATTTTATCGCGTTTGCAAAGCAGTCGGGCGATGAAATATGAGCATCAGAATTCGCTTCGTCGTCACTCTTGGAATTCTTATCGATTGTTTTCTCATATTAATCGGCTCGTTTCGGACGCTAATCGCGCGCCAATTCAAACAGGTTTATCCCACGTGGTGAATCACAGTCCGGGCATCCAGACAAATACGATTGTGCGTTGTCGCACGTCTATCGCGATTCTCCATTTTTATCTGCATTCCTCTACTCGCATTGCATTTCGCAGTTGTATGCATTTCCCACGCTTACGTCAGTCATTCGCTGCAACTTAGACGTCGTATTTACAATTAAGGACGAAAGGGGAAACTGACCCGCGCAAGGTCACGCCCAAGGTTCCGTTGACGATCCTGTTCGCCGTGTTGTTTATTTGTTCTTGTCGGAGGCCCATGATCGAAATGCAGTCGTGAAATGCACCGTGCATTTTATATTTGTTCTTTAAATCTTTTTATATACGTCTGTGAAAGCGCGAGACGTTATTTTATATTAGCGATTATATTATATCGATCGCGATTCTATTTATAGCGTTTTAGAATAAAAGAAGCGCATTCGACGCAAATATTGATACAATCGTTTCCTTTCTCCGATTGCGCTCTAAAATCAATAGCTTTCATTATTATTCTGTAACAAATGCTCGATTATTTGTTGCGAATAATAAGATACGCTAACACCGTACTTACACTTCGATAATACATATTTTTTCAGCGAGGAATCGAAAAGTTAGTATTAGTAGAGTTCGCTAAAAACGCGACACACGACTTTCTCTGTGTGCTGGTTACTATTTTTTTCGTTCGACGATTTCATGCACGAATTGCATAATTTAATAAGCGGTTATACTACGCTAGAAATACTGTGCAATCAGTACGATGCATTCGATCTCTAACTGATATCTGCAATCAAATCCTTGGCTTAAAGAAAAATACTTCTTTTGAAGAAAAAGATTTAAATGGTTTTTAAACGATTTCACTCTACATCACGATTATTTTTGTCTTTGCTTCGCCATCATTTGCGCATTCGCGAAATTATATAACGCTCTCATAAATGCATGATGATACTCTAACCGGTCTTAACAGTGGATTGTAAACCAATCACGTTATGGTTGCCGGGGACCACCATTTATACCGATTATTTATTTTTTCCTGCCTCGAAGAAGCTGTCGTGCATCAAATACATAATATCGACGCACCGAGGATGCAAATTAACATCTTTGAATTTCCCAAAAACATATTATATCATTGCGTGTTTTCAACGGCGGACAGAAATGATTTATCGATTATCCGCTTTGAATTTCATTCAACTTCCGAATGTTTTTCTCGGGCGGATTTATGTTAAAGTGAAAGCGATCAGTTATCGATAGTACGTTATAATTTATGTGAAACGAGATGAAAGTAATTAAACGCATATTATTATTGCAGTGCGGTAAAGTGTCACCGGAAGCTTTAACTTTCGCAAACGCGCGATTAACCGGATATTCTAAGAGCCTGGAGCAAAATACGCGAGTATACCGCGGGAACGGCACTACTTCGTGTGTATGATATAAACTCGTTTAATATAATTTCTAAAGTACGAGTATGCAGAGATTAAGACTGTCGGAAGTCGTTTGCAGAAAAACATTAAACTTTCGAAAATATCTTTTTCATAGAATTAAATCTGTTACAAATTTTGCGTAATTTAGAGGAAATCTCGAGACATTTTTTTTTATAAAAGAACGTATCATTTTTTTATATCGAAATAAAAATGAAAATATTTGATCGCGAAAAATGTTATGTTTCCCATACGAACATTAGAGATCCCGTCCTCCCTACGGGCGACGATGGATATGCAATAATGACCAACATCCTGGCGTATGATGACCGTGCTTAATAATTAATGTTTCTCGGAAGACCTCCTAAACCTTCGTGTCGGTTAGATAAATGGCAGAGTTACGCATATTAGAAGAATAGATGTGGATACGTTCAACTATGTATTATCAAGATCATCGTGTAATCGGAGAGCAGTAATAATAAATCAGAAAGTTTGAAATTTTCAATCTATAAGATAGAATGTTGTTCTACAGCTGCACGTGTTGCAATAATAAATAACTATAATTCTTACAAATAAATACACTTGTAGACATCTTTTTTAATACCTTGAGAGGCAAATTAAATTTTTTAAAATATATTATTACTTTATTATTATATTTAAATAATTCAAATTCGAAGAAATACATTGTTCTCACATTTAACTACTTCGTTTGAAAAAAACAAATAAACATGATTGCATCTAATTTGATCTCACATGTGATTAGATGAGTTACACGAGGCTAGAGAATCATGAAACTTTTCTTTCAAATCAAATATTGCACGTGACGGGAATTTTTTTCGCGACAACTGCGGAAATGCACTCACAATCGTCTCACAGTGCCGTGTATCGGCGTCCTCGGCTGGATGGATCTCCCTCGATGCGCTCCGAAACGATAACTGACTGCTTTAGGCACATGTATCGACGCGCGGAAGAGATCTCAATGATGATGAAGATCCCCTTCTTCCATAACGCACTATTACAATAATACGCTCTGTTGCGAGATGCCGCGTATATATGTATGCGTATCGCGAGATGATGCACCCACTGCACTTGGACGACGATGCACGATAGCTTCCTGCGTCGCGTGACCAGTGATCTTTATATCAGTTGGATCCTACTGGCCCTGCGCCAGAGTGTCGTCCCACTCTCTATGGCCTCTCGTCGCGATGCGACGCAACCGAGGCGATGCGACGCGACGTTTGCGTCCCGACACCGGTGCTGCACACCTATGCACCACCTCGCTGCACGGTGTATTGCCACCACGGTCTACTGAACGTCGCCTCGTCGTCGAACGAAAGGAACGTGTCTGCAATGTCGCCGGTCGCTCTTACGACTGTCGGCCAAAGCCGTCGTCCTGTTCCGTTCGCATTTACCTCGCCCTTCCTTTTTCGCGCTGGATTTCATGGTCCCTCTTGCGCTCTTTTCAGTCCTCACCTGCCCGAATCAGTGAGAGAGATCCGTCCCTTCCATCGCGCAAGTGGCCGAAGTGGTCCTCTATAGATTGCGCATCACGATGCGCCTGATTGGAGCCGATCAATTTCGCGATGCGTCTCAATAACCTGAGATCATAGATTAATGGATAGGGCACATCATTGACCTATACACTCCAATAAAGTTTTGACGCCATCGTGTTGAATTGCTCGCTGATTTTTTATCTCCTTTTCTATTTGCGTTTCTTCCTCAGATGTCCTCGATAATAACATAAAGTGTATATAGGATTATAAGTATAGCGCAGAAAAACGAAATTAATTGCAATGTTATAAACATGTAATTATTCGCCGCCATGCAGGAAAAGATCTTTCTGAGATATTATATGGATGTATGGATATTCATTACCGATTATTTAAGCTATAAATATGCATAGGTAATTTATTGCTCGCGCATATTGTGCTCATAAAAATCAAGGTTCTAGTTTTTGAGCAATTTTTGGCGCTTTATGTTATTTTCACGATGGAGACCCGGGCGAACGCGTTATGATCTTTACTTGTCTACGCGAACGATACGATCTCGCATCTGCTCGTGACGGAAATGGAAACGGGAAAACCTACTTCTTACCGGATGACGCCGTCTGCGCAAAAAAAACTTGCGCTACGAGCAGAGCTGAAGGAATTTGTTAGGAATTTTATTTCAATCTCTTTTTCTATATTTTCTCCAATTAATTCTTCAATCTTGTCAGTTCTCAATAAACGAGATCGTGGGATATGTGTAAAATATTATTCGTTTAGAACGTATGAGTAAATAAGATATATATTACATTCGCGTATTGCCATCATTTCGTTCAATGCATGCATATATTATATTTTTTAATTTATCATCTGTTATATAATGATCAACTGATACACAATCGTTTGATAAAGTCTACATTTAAATAAGAACTTTCTCGGCTTTCACTAAGAATAAGCCATGGTCCATTAATAGAAAGTAATTTGCAGATATATCAACGCCCCTTAGAATGTAACAACAACCATGTAAAGTGAATTCATGTAACTATCTGCGCAAATTACGACTTTATCCGTATCTAATTCACTTTAGTATTCCATACGAGTATCGTATCTACATTTTGTCTTGAATAAGTATAGAAGTAGGTAGAACAAACCTCTGAGTAATGGTGTCACTCATAAGTAATCACCTTGTATGAACATGAGTGACATCGATCGCATATCAATATTTAGCAGAAACAACGCCAATATCAAATTAATTATAAATTACGTCACTAATCAGTAACTAAAATCTAAATAATGAGTAATCACTCATTATTTTTATTGCAATAACAATTGATCACAAAATACACATAATTGCGAATAGAATAAATATCTTTATGTTAAAAAATTAAGTATACGATGTTGGTTTTTTAGCAATTCGAGAATTTTTATAAGAATTTCTATTTTATTTGAGTTTCAACATTTGTCGCAATTTAGAAAATTTATGTAATTTTTTACAATAGCGAGAATAATTATTCGACGCTTATATATAAAAATATAGTCTGGAATTTTTGCATGGGGAATCCTGGACATTTAATAATACCGAAATCAAGACATTGTATGGTAAAATACGAGCCTGTTTACACACAAAGAAGCGATACTTTATTATTCTAGTCGCACATACGCGACAAATACGGACATACACGAAAGTTACATGCCAATCATAAAAAATTCAGACTGACCGGTCCAACATTGATTTACTTCCAAAATTTCGTAGCTAATATATTTTTCTATAAATTATATATAATTACATAATTAAATGATGCGTATATAATAAAAAGAAGATACAGGTTCTATTATTCGACCATTATATGGCTTACATTTCTATTGCTTCTTTCAATTGCTGTATTTTTTACATTGAGTAAAACCATATCGAATCGATTCCTTCTGCTCGATCACCGATGACTATTTGCTGTCAATGCCGCATCTAATGCGATTAATCTTTTCACGCGACCAAATTTGTAGAAACGTGCGAGATCGCGCTTCTTTCTCGGTAATCAATTACGATTCCTTTTGCAGTTCTTTCGCGACGTCATCATTATATTCTCGGACTGTGACGGTATCGTTCAAATCATATGCAAGTCGTCACTGTGACGTTTTTTCTTATGCAGCTGTGCGGTCGTACATCCTTCTATGATGAAAAGATATTTAAAAATATCTATCATTCATTTATACGTGTCTGTTTTTTTTTCCCCACAAATGCTTTGACTCAGCGAGCAAAGTCGTTTGCGAGAGAGACTCGTGATGAAGAGATCAGTCGCACTTCGCAGAAAAATCGCCACCACGATCGTCGGAAAAAAATTTGCGTAAACATTTATTTCGAACTCTGTCTGATCGCGCGTGACTAATCGAAAGAGAGATCTGTGACATTATCAAGGTCGGCCTACGTCGTCCTTCGCTTTACAAATTTTTAAACGTCGCGTATTGTAAAACGTTCGGGCGCAATCTTTTTTGCATTCTCAGGGGTCGAGAGAAATATATATTAATCGAAAAGATTGATCGCGAGTTGTCCTAGTTGGAAGAAAAAGATGACCCCAAAAGAATATATCGCGTTAAAATAAGATCGTTTCGTTACGATCGCAATAATTTATATCGCCTTAACATATTTGTTTTATTATATTATAATCGTCAAAATAATCTGTATTGAGAAATATTTGTAAAGAGAATAATTAATTATTTTTATATATATTTAGCAATCTTGTAATATTAATTGCTTGATATTTAACATGATTTGTGTTTTTATCATCTTGAATATTATTGTCGATGATTGTTGTTAAGTTGAACTATTATTCTTTACGATAGAGTTTCCTAAACGAGACATTTAAATCAGGGCATTGGTCAAAAGGAGTAATCTTTTTCCACTCAATTGTGAGATCAAAGAGATGTTATTCACGTTAATTTGTTCAATATGGTTCGCTGATTTTGAGGCTTAGTGACACTTCACGGTTACATGGCTATAGGAGATCTATGCATATAAAGTGAAGTTTTATTAAAGTTGGGAGTTATTAGTTTTCATGAAAAATGTACACGAGAGATACGAGCATGAACTTTATTAGGAGATATATAGATATAATCTTCCTATTGTTTCAGTCAACCTTAGTTTCGTGCTTATTAATACGCGAGATTATGAACGGGAACAATTTCGCTGATGTGCAATCTCGTCGAATTAACTTCACCTTCTAACGCGCCATTGTATTTAATATGATTTATATCGACCTTTCGCTCTTAAATTTTAGACTAGAAGCGAATACGCGCGCTTGCTTGGAAAGTGTAAATGGAAATCGCCAGAGTGAAAATCACTCGAAAGATTTTCCTCCCAAGTGCTTCCTGAGAATCGGGTTGGGATATGACATGACACTTCAAGATCACAGTGAAATCGTAACTTTCAATGTCTTCACTTCCCACACCGTCGCGCTTTGACGCGATCATTATGTCTAATAAGCGTTAACGCGCTATTAATTTAATTTCAGTATTTAACTTCGATGGCAAAATGTGAACTGCGTAATATGTCGTACACACGTGTCCTTTGATTTGAATCAAATTGTGTATGGTTGTACGAAACGCATGACATATAAATATACCTATAGCTATACAACGAATACGTAATCGTTATACAACTAAACGTTATACAACTTAGAATTATATATTATAATAGCAGAACGCTTGACGATTTTTATACTTTCTGTTTTTTTTTTCGCTCTTTACAACTATATAATTAAATTATTAAAGGAAATTTACACTTCTCTCTTTCTCTTTCGATTATTAAAATTTAATTGTAATCTTGATATTTTTTTTAATTATTAAATTTACCAATTTGCAAACTTTTTTCTCTCAAATTTGGAAAAATATTAACGTGTTTGTATGTAGTAAAATTTATGCACTTTGCTCGTTTTGGCTAAACACGAAACTTGCAGTACGGTGTACGTTTTCAAACACAAGCGATCCGTATTTTTTTGCCGGACGTGTACGGCCTATTGTTCGTCATATCGTGCGCCTCTATTTTCCCGCGATTTTACACGAAAGTGAAAAGGCGTTTTCTCGCGCATCTTAACGAACCCTCCTGGGAAGTGGGTCGAATTAGTTAATTTCAAGATCACGGCGAAATACTTGCTTCCTGTGACCGTGTGTCGTGCATTAAAGGCTTTTAATCGAGGCTTCATGTCTCTGTGTTACTTATCTGGGACGTGGAAAAAAATATATAAAATGAACATGCATTCTCTTTGCTTTTTTATTCATCAAGATTTCAGACAAGAAACGAGATCTGCGTGTTTTCACTTTTATCTAGCATCGCAATTAACGCTGTATGCGACCATCTAATTTGTCGGTTCCATATTAGAATAGCATTATTATATCAAGAGGTACATTTTACGTTCGATGATAAATGTGTTGCGACAGGACTAGTATTTCAAATCATATATTAATATCGAAAGAATTTTTTGTGGAAATTATGTTAATGATGTCTAATGTTCCAATAATTATTATTACTATAATAATTAATTAAATTGTTTTTGATTAGTTTTTTTTCTGATTTTTTAATAGAACTATTTGAAGATGATTGATTATGAAAACTATGAAAATCGAATCTTCTAACGATTATGAAAACTATGAAAATCGAATCTTCTAACGATTATGAAAACTATGAAAATCGAATCTTCTAACGAATAGTTACAGCTTAACAACTTGAATTATTACGACATTTCGATATAGACAATAACGAGTAATTAAATCGCAGTTAATTACGCGAGTAATAATCTGCATTATAGCAATTGTGAAATTTATTGACTTATTTAGTCGTCCCGTTATTGTCTCGATTAAAACA